GCACACTGGACGCCTCCATTCAACGTGACCATCCTTGAGATTTCTGGTCCAGGCATCAACACAGATCCTTTGTCTGGGTCTACTTGCCCTCCTGTTACTGCGGCGCAGGCACGGTTTGTCAATGTGCCAGGTTGTTGGAGTCGTTGTGTTTCTTCATTGCCCGATGCGATGCATGCAGGCTGAGTACATGGAACAATTCAACAAGACGATGTCCTTCAAGCCAGAACTCTTTTTGGTCTTGAACAAGCAGCAGGTCGTGCAACGATCACCTGACGAAGCAGCTGGATCCTCTTCTACAGTCGCATTTTCAAGTGCTCTTCTTGGTATCCTATTCTCTCTTTGATCTATCGTGGTGCATTCTGAGGGAGAAGACATGAAACAGTCACACCATTTTGTACTCTCTGAGTGTGTGAGAGTTCAGGTGTGAGAGTCCCAGGGTGGATAGTTCCAGTTTCTGCTTCGCCATTTCAGGATTTAAGATCCTGTCTCAAAGTGACAGTGGTCAAGTTTACGTGTGTGTGTGTGTTTGTGTGTTTGTTTGTTTGTTTGTTACTGCTAGCTGATGCTTATTGAATTAAAGAATACAAGTTGATAGTCACGTGGTTACAATCACACCCAAGATAACTTTGTTTTGCAGCTTGTTTGCCTTGAGATGAATCCGAATGATGGTGGTACGGTCTCCTGAGAAAAAGGGTGTTCCAGTTGTAATTCGAGAGGTCGCAATTGACATGCTCTTGCCTGCTGAGTTCATGCGGACCAAAGTGTCTTATACTCCAATCTTTGCAGCTGCAAACGTACTGGCCGGTGGAGCCACAAAAGGATTTGCTGTTCAAACCGCCTGTCTTTCCAAGGCTGCGTGTTAGTTTGTGTTCATTAAGCCCAGAAGGGCAACCGGCAACAAAAGTTGCACTGGTTGCAACCGGAGGATTGAACGCAGCACCTGTGTGCTTTGCGAAGTAGCATAGCACTGGCAGAAGAATGGGCAGCTGCAAGATGATTTGGGCAATTGTTTGAAATGTCTCTCCGCAGGCGGGCTCCAATGGTGCACAACGAACAAAGGGCCGTTGCTTCTCTTGAACTGCAACCAATGCTACCCAAGGGACCAACCAGTTGCCCTCAGGGTTTTATCTAGTCACTTTAGGCCCAAGTTTGTCTTCAGACCACACCATTATGTACTCTCCAAAAATATAAGCGTTCGCGTCCTATCAAGTGAGGGGAACTTGGTTTGCATGTGAGTCACTGTGAGACAGCCTTGAGCTGAAATCATTTTGATGTCAGGGGGCATGGGTGTGCTTGATATGTTGGTCATAAATCAAGAGCCTTTTCTAAGATTCTTATCTGTATAGATATGTGAGATTTAGCCTTTAAGTGTGCATGGAATCTCCACCAATGCGCCTCTCCTCTGGCAAGCGAGTTCGCCTGTGTGAAAGGAGATGGAAGATGGAATTCCAATTCCTGGTCTTGACCTTGCTTTCAGGACAAGATGTGATCTTCCTCAGACATGTCGAGTAGAGGTCACCTGATGCGTTGGCTTCTTAACTAGTAGTGGTATGGGTTTGACAGAGTGTGGCAAGGGCAAGTACTTCATACAGCAAAAACCAGACCATATTGTGTTCAAACAACATCGGCATACCATTTGCCATGAAGCATACCACAGAAGGTCTCTGACACTTACGATGAGTGCTCAGACTCTCACCACCTCTCGAGACACGGCAGCTGCCACGGCAGCTGTCCACTCTGGAAGACACATTCAATGCCTTAAATGGCAAGCTGGGGGGTCGTGTCGAAGAAACCTTTGTTCAATCAATAGCAGAACCTAATTCCCAGCGCATTCAATCACAATAGCCTCCTGGAAAATTTCGCAACCATTTCAAGATTTGCAAAAGCCCGGTGACATCAATATCCCATAGAGCAAGAAAGCTGTTGTCAGTAGTACTTGCTGTTCAACAAATCAGGTGTAGAGGCAAGTACGCCTGCCTTCACATGCTGTCACAAAGCATCCATTGATGCACTGCATGGCAAACATGTTTGACAAGGTCATGTTGCTAAACCTCTCAATGTCCTAAATCCATGGATCACTACGAATCACTACGTTTACTGCCCATTTTGAGCACTTCAGGACATCAGCACCTGAAGGACTTCAGGCCGAGGTGCAGGGCAGAATCCACCCAACCTTTTCAAGGGGACAAAACTACCGTGCGGTATTCTTGCTAAGACTCCCAAGCCAAAGCTTCATGAATATCTTGAACTTAAGTTGCCAGGCACCTAGCCGGACAAGCTCTTACTACAGTGTGGGCTTTGGAACATCGTTGGTTTGACGCCTTTTCAGCCAGTCTGAAACAGTTTCGTGCCAATTGAAGGTCACAAGTGTATATTTTGCTCCTTGAAAGAGAGTTCCGCGACCCAGGCTTTTGCCCCGCAGATGGCTGGAGAGTGTGCGTGCGCAATTCTCAGCCAAGTCCATTGCCTCACCTCACCTTCAGAATCATACTTAATGCAATTCTCATCGGATCTAAGAGTGGTGCAGGCTTGCAAGTTCACGATTGAATGAACTGTGAAGGCCAAAGACTGTTGACTCAATTGTTCTATGAGGCTGGATCCGTATGAGATCAGACAGAGGCTTAGCTCCGCCCAAGGTCAGATCTTTACACTCACTTGAATTTTAAAGTGATCCAGGTGTCCCGTTTGCATGCATGGTGAGCCGAGCATCAACAGCGAACCTCACATTTGAATGGGTGACCAGATGGGAAACTGAGGCATCATGAGCCATGGTGGTGGTCGCCCGGGCATCGATGAGGCAAACTGAAGCTTTAATTGTTGAGGAGGGGTATAATATATGGGAGTTGATCGAAAACCCCGTATAAGGAGTTTTATATACAACAGCCTTTCAGATGTTGTTAGAACCATCCGCGAAAGACTCACGATGAGGTTCGCGAAAGTATTCTTTTTCCGCGAAAGATTTATCGAAGGTCATCGCTTTCATTGTGTTCCTTTCTACCGGACTGACAAAGAATAGAAACGCAAGGCAATCCTCCGGCAGAGCCAGTGGGCGGAAGTGTTGCCATATGTCACAGACTAACGAACTGAAGCCTCAACATTTCCGTGCCCAGCCCTGGCAGTGCGTAAAGGATTCTCCGATTCCTGTCCCCACAGTCACAGACTAGTAATCTGGGTAGGCACAGCCCTGATAGTGAGGCAACGACCTGCAGCTTCTCTGACGGGCTGTGCAGATGTTTGCAAATGTTACGGCTTCCCGGGGAAAGCACCGTGAAATTTCGCGAAAGATCCGCGAAAGCTTCGCGAATGTGCCGCTAAAGTCTAGGTTCGGTAGCTGGCACGAGGCTTGGGTTGAGTTGTGCCTGACTCTATTTGGCACAATTGTCGTACAGATGCTGCAAGTGACCCTGAGTAACTGTGGAAACATTCAACCATCTACTGGGGTCATGCTGCAAGATGTCTCTCCCTATTTTGTGATACTATGAAGTGTTCCGGCTCATGTTAGCTATAGACATGGTTGTAGGACCATGCTTCGCGATGAGGCCGCGAAAGATCCGCGAAAGATATCCTTTTTTCCGCGATGAATGGCCATTCCAGGATGAAAGAATATTGACCAACCACCATATATATATATATATGGAGGTGTTTCTCAGAGCTTGCAGCAAAATCCACCAGACTATACGACACTTGTCATTCCAACAGGAAACTAAACATCAACTGCTCAGTGCCAGCAACTTCGAACCCGGATCCGACCTACAAACAGTTTAGGAGCAGAATACGAGTTGTACTTTGTTTATTGCACACGGATGTTATCTGTGGCAAAAAACAGCTTCAGGAAGATGGGCACTGTATGCAAAGGCATCACAGAGCTGTGGCCAACTCTGTTCCCAACTCTCTCAAAGTACAAGAATATCATGCACACACCTGGCAGCCTGTTTGATGACACCTGGCCTTTGCTTTAGCTTGTTCAACTCCACCGCGCCACCCACAACCGCAAACACAAGCAGGTTCCGTTGGAGCCAAGTGCCGTGGAATGGTGTCAGGTTGGGATTTGTTGGATGGGTCAAGGGTTCACCGTTGCCAACAGGCTGACCAATCATGCAGGCTGACTTGCAGAATCTTTCACGTTTTGCAGGGTTTTTGTAGCTAGTTTGCGCTGTTTGAATAACATGTTCGGCAATGGAGGCCAACAATCCCAATAACATTACCAAAGAGGCGGGACCAAAGCACAAGATAGACCAAGCACAGCAGCCGTGTTGTTCATGCAGCAAACTGTCAAACTGCTGGGCCATGACACACTCCATTCATTTCATTTGTTCTGGGCCCCTGGTTTTGACAAAGCACTTCGGTCTTGCATTCCATGTTTTTGCAGCCGGCCCTTTGGAAAGATGTGATCACAGGACTTTGCCCGAGGAATTCCTGCTGGCCCTGCATGGAGCTTACGCGAATCTCAGCATGTTCAGTGGAAAGGTTGAAACAACTTATATACATAACAGTTTGTAGAACAGAATCACAAAGGATTACAATACGTTGCCACAGTTTTTGGTTGACTTTTGATCTTACGCTTTTGTGAATGGTTTGCTTGTGGTTGGTGACAGTATGGCCGGGCATTGAATATGTCGATACCAGGCACGCCGATGGGTTCCTCTCAACGGTGCAATGAGCAATGAACAATTGGCGTGGCTGAAGGAGTAGCATTTATATGTTGCTGATTGAGTCTTGTGACTGTCCAAACCCCGAACGATTGTTACGTGCACAACAGGTACTCAAAGATACTCAAAGCAGCTGTCCTCAACTGTCTAGTCAGTATTATTTTCCGGTGATCAGCAGATGCCATTCGCCCTTAGCCTTAGCCTTTTCCACCATCAGCTACCTGACCCTGACTTGAATTACAGGAAGAAAACCAGTTGTAATATGCTCGCGTTTTTTTTTTAATCCTAAGCAAACAATGATTGATTCATCATTGTTGTTTCCCTTATTTGGTGTATTCACTGCTGGTTTTCAGTTGCCGTTTGGCTCGTGCCCGAAACTCTCCGGACACCCGCACCAAACCCCATCCATTTTCCATATCCTACGTCAGGATGATGTGCCTTGGCACATCATTCGCTGGGGTTTATGTTTGGCTCAATACTGGATTTGTCAAGCCCGGTCCTTGTAATATATTGGGCCACTTCCAATTGATGTCAAGTAACTAGAAGATACCCTGTTTGTTAATGCTTGCCTCGATGATTTCATTGGTTGTATCATATTGTATCTAGTAATTCACACCTGTGCTGCTTTGTTCTCAGTTTGGAGCTCTTTGACACTTTGGAGGGTTGGAGGCATTGTCAATCAGTCAATCGATGAGGTTCCTGACCATTACAGCGCTTTATTGGTTGCTGGCACGAGGCTCTCTTGTGCGTTTTTGTAGCTAGGGGAGGTCATGCAGTCATGGAGACAAGCATGAGACAGAAACATTACTTTGCCTGCATTGTAAAGCGTGCCTTCAGAAGAACTCAATTTCAGATCATCATGTGAAGAACTCAACATCTTTGCAAACATCTGGTCAGGTTGCTTGTCATGCGAGGTGGCTTGAACACTTGTCCCAACATTTTGTAGACGTATTTGGCAATTTTCACCAGTGTACGGTGTAAGTGAATCTGAAAGAGGCGGCACGGTGACCACTCTGCAATGTGTGTACCCGAGAATTTGCGAGAGGCTTCTTTTGCATGCATTCATGTTTAAGTTCAGGCACAGAGGCTTCTCATGCTGGCCTCACTGCAGACGATGCTTGCTTTGGAAGTGAGACAGGCACAGATGGATGTTACAAGTTTCTTGCAGCCTACAAGCTGTGTTATGAGACATTTGAAATCACTGCTGTCTAAAGAAAAATATAGAAAAATACTTGCGAAAAACGGAAGGTAAGGGCCCCTGTGTAGGAGCCTTTACCTTCCCATTATACTTAATATATGTGTTTAAGTTAAACTAAAATAACAAAAACAATATATATATATATATACATAATTTCCGACTGGGCTGCCCTGTACGATGCTGTGCCTCGCTGTATGATGTTGGCTTGCACAGGCGCCTGTGGGCTTCATGCGTTGCAAGTTGGATTGCAGACCATCAGCCCTAAGAGCGATCGGGAGAAAGTCATCACGATCGGCTTGGGGGCCCAGGAAGCAAAAGCTTCTGGAGCTGACAATGGCTGGTTTGTTTGTTTTTGTGGAGATGTCTTGTAAAGATTCCTCACACTGTGTCTCATGTTTGCCTGCTGATGCCAATATGTAATGCATTTGGATCTTAACTGGCATGAAGAACTAGTATATAACTACTTCGTTGACTTTGATTCCACAAAGAAGCTGTGGACTTCGAGCTTTCTGAGCTGTTTGGGTGTGAGCAGCGGCAACTCCTTTCCGCCGGGGCTCTCTTCAGGTCTGAGTGGTGAACCCCAGAGCCATATGCAGATGGTGATGGAACCTGACCGTGACTTGGTCGGTATATATTTGAGCAGAAGTTTCATCGCACGATACCGGAAGCTTTCGCACAACGTGATATGACGACTAAAGTAAAACGGGATGAGTGATCGCATGAAATTACGTGAGGCTTTCTTCAGTACGTTTTGCATGCCCCGCGTCTTTTGTGAACACCCGCAGATCTCGTGACTTTTGAGGCCAAACATTCGACTTCCGGCACTTCCACCCATTACACCTGGGCCACATGGCTCGGAAGGTCTTTCATGATGCTCTCCACTGGCAACCACTGAAAGGCCGCTGCCACATGCATTGCAAAACATGTTGGCCAGCTCTCTAGAGTAGCTGTGCCTGTGCTCCAGAATAGGGAACTACAGCTACGCACAAAGAATTGCCTGTCCACTATCAACAAGTTTGTTAACTGATCTCCCAGAACAAGTATAAACCTCATTGACCAACCAGCATAGCAAAAAGACTGTTGCTTTTGATCCTCCAGAGCCAGGACTTTCAGGATTCTATCAAGTGGGTGCGTTCAGCCAGGCGTGATCGGTCTTGCAAAGTAAATACTGTCAACACTTGGCGTGTTCAGTCCCACGGGTAATGATGGTGACGGTAGTGGGATCACAGCAAAAAGCATTATATATATAGGCAGGTAGTGGCAGGTACAAAATTGCACAAAGACAGTGCCTTCTGGGTGAAGGAGTGCGAATCATCCTGTTGGTGTTGCTGCTGCATTGATATGATTTGCCAACAAACATACAGTAGACATTTAAGATTCCTGTATTTGACAGGGCCCCATGTACTTCACGGGACGTGTGAATCATATTTTTTCTGAAGGCTTGCTTGATCAACAGAGGCATCTTACCTTCAGCCCATGATCGGTAATCTCCAGGTAACTTACGCAGAGGCATTAACACTGAAGCTTCCCAGCTACCTCAATGTGTGTGCATTGTTTATCCATGCGACCCCAGACACTAGGTGCCTTTGGATGCGCTGGTTGTGGCTAAAACCTATCCTCAGCCAGAGAACGCCCGGAGTCCCAGCCCCCCAAAGCATCATCAAATCGGATTATTTCTCTCAAGATGATTTTCAACATGGAAACTTGCCCGTTGGCTCTCGCATACAGCCTTGGCCTCTTGTGACGCTGTTAAATTGCTGTGGAACACCATGTCGCCATGCGGAGCAAATCCTGTTGTGTTCTTTTTCTACCCTTCATGTGTCCAACATGGCAGGCTCAGATGAGAATGTAAAGCTGAGCAGTCCGATTGATTGCTGCCACCATGTTGATGTCAAATGTTGGGCTAAGATGACCATCGACGCCTGGCTTCGAGATGTGTGGTGCGGGTCTCAGACCAACTTCTCTGACCAACTTCTGGCACTGGAGTTGTGAATCATGATGCACATAAGACATAGTCTTCTTTGGACGTGAATAATCAAGAATAGCCCGTAACGGTTAACATGGATCCACATCAGTTGTATACTGCAGAGAAATCAATGAAGCAAGGGACCATGCACTTTGTGCCCGTTCTTCATGCTTTCAAAGACATCAGGTATAGGTGCGCAATGGTGCGCATGTAGGCGCATGTATGTTTATAATGTGTAATAGTGTGTATAGACTGTATATTTTATATGAGATACAATAAGTATTAGTAATTTGTATTTTTTTACATGGTAGCGAACCTTCTTGTTTGACATGTCCCCACAAGAATCTGGAGCTGATATTTACTATCATGGCAGCTGTAGTTGGAATCAAGATTAGCATGTTTGGACACTAATAGTGGACCTGTCACCCTGTCAGCCTGAGAAGAACTAGTCAAGCACTCCAAGACTCCAAGCACCGTTTTTCCACACCATGGAGCTCCAGACAACAGCATTCACTCACACATAGAGCTCAGAATTGTCCCAGGGCACAAACCCTGGCTGCAAGTCCAAAAATGCGGGCAGAAGAGAGTTATAGGCAGGACCTGTGAAGCCGGTGATGAGATTGCCGGATGCAAGACATAGGATAATACAAAAACATCCACTTGGCAGATGTTGAGAAGAGTAGTTGGAGTTGAAACTTGTAAACAATTGCCAAACTTTAATCATTGGTATGAGCAGCTTTGGTGTTAAGGGAGTGGTATGAGTCCAGGCAGAAGGTCCTGATCATGGGATTCATCGCCCTCACGATTTTGCCATTGCTGGTGGCCCGTACCTTAGCGTTCTACAGCTTTGTTTGCAGACAGCTGCAGACAGCGGCTCACTTGATTGACAAAGGAGAACTGACCCTTGCAGACAGGATCCGAGGCTTTTCAATACAAGGTTGCAGAATAAACAACAAATATGAACAAATATAAAGCGTGGCAAGCAAGGTCAATAATTTGTGTCCTAAAAGGATTCACACTGCAGACTTGCGCAGTAAATGTCAAGCAAGACGACATTCATTTGCCTTGCACTGAAGCTTCCTCTAGGTGCAGATTGAGCGGCGTTCCAAAGCTTCACAGCCTTTTGAGTTGCTTGTCTAGAGGAACAAAGTCAAGTTCAGAAACTGGCCCGGGTTCAGAAACTAGGGTTCAGAAACTACAGTTCAGAAGCTATGGTTCAGAAACTGATTTTGTCGTGTTCAGAAACTGGTTTGGTCGGATTCCGCAGCTCCTTTTTTCGGGTTCAGACATTTTGTTTGTCGGTTTCAGAAACTATTTTCTGTGGTTTCAGAAACTAGTTTTGTCGGTTTCAGAAACTATTGGTTCAGACCAGACTGCTTTGCACCAATTCAGAGACCCGGTTTCTTTTTCTCTTCGTGCCCACTGATTGCTTCAGGTACATGGGGAGGGTGCGTGGGTCGGGGGATATTGGCCTAATGTTTATGTGAGCAAACCTCTCTTAGCAGCCAGAGAGCCGGTTTCTTTTTTGTCTTCGGACCCACTAGCAATCAGTTTCCGAACTGCACCTGTCTAGTTTCCGAATCCCAGTTTCCAAAATCCACCAGTTACCGAAATCCACTTTTTGAGTTTCTGAGCATGTCATGCATCTAGTTTTCGAAGCACAGTTTCCGAATCTTATGTTTCTAGTTTGCGACTCCACGTTTGGAGTTTCCGACACCGACGTTCCGAGTTTCCGAAGCCTAGTTTCCGAACCCAACCTTTTAGTTCCCGAACCGGACGCTGACTTTGTCTAGAGCATGCAGCGTTTCACTCGGCGATTGGGTGTCCATGCGGGAACTGTAGAAGTTTCACAGGGGATTTGACATTGTGACAGTTACTCGACATGCTCTGATAGGATGTATTTGCAGGGCATCATCATTTGCACTCTACGTATAATAGACGCTGCCATCAGGAACACTATTGTCATCAATTGTAGTCCTAGTCAGTCAGTGCTCACACTTCCCTTGGCATATCAGATGTTCAATTCAGGAAGCTTCCGAAAATAGACTCGGAGACCAGGGACAGACACCCAAGGATTGGATGTACTACAAGCGATGTATGAAGAGGTATGTGATATATTGTAACATATGCGATGTGCTTTTCCAGCTCACTCCAGTTTTCACTTCCAAGGACTAGACCTCAAACCAGCATGAAGATCACCCAGAAGGAGCTGGAGGAACACTGCACGACTTCTTCATTGTGGGTTTCCATTGGTGGTGTTGCATCTCATCTGAAGTCTGAAGTGTCACCAGCTTGATGTGGCTTGACCATGCTCGACTCAGACCGCTTATTTACCAGGCTACCGCCTGCAGCCGCCGACCCCCAAGGGATAGAACCTTAGCGCTAGCCTTGCTCTATGTTAGCCTTAGCCTTAAGCCTTAGCCTTAGCCCTAAGAGTGCAGACCCAACCCAGCACCACCAAAGCAGGTACCCAAAAAGTCGACTTTTTGGGTACCTCCCAGATTTACCATCGGACGTCAGCTCTTGCATGAACCCCGATCATTGCCCAAGAATTTAGACCCAACCCTTCACCACCAAAGCAGGTACCCAAAAAGTCGACTTTTTGGGTACCTCCCAGGTTTACCAATTTAGACCCAACCCAGCACCACCAAAGCAGGTACCCAAAAAGACAAAGCCTAGAGCATTCCTAGGAAAATGCCAGAAAAGCCTTTGAAAATCTCATAAACCAACAGAAAACGTGACAAAATCTACGAAAAAGCAAGGGCATTGGCCGGGACCATGCCGCGACCAGCCCGGGATTCGAGCCCAGGACCATTTTGGACCGTGCTTATTTTCCCGCGCGGGTCGAGAGGGTGCCCCAAGATGTAAATCAATTGGGATGGCAGAATCTTGGACAATCCAGGTGACCATCAGGTCGCTTTTAGGGCGGGATTTCGTCACTGCAACAAGGGTCCGGAGGGGTAGGGGAGGTAAGGTCTAGGTCTAGGTCTAAGGCTAAGGACTAGGTCTAAGGCTAAGGATAAGGCCTAAGGCTAAGGCTAAGGCTAAGGCTTAAGGCTAAGGCTAACATCGACAGTCACGCCTCACCCCACGGTGTGGGGTCGGCGGATTCCAGTTGATGTGAGCAAGAAAACTGACGCCCGTTGTTCCTTCCCTTCCCACCGCTTCCCACATGGCCTCCACCTGGTAGCTCTAGAAAGCTTTATTACTAAGCTTCAAAAACATACTAAAAAGCTTCATTGCTACTAGTAGCGATGGCCTCCACCTAGTAGCTGCAGTTCCTTCCCACCAGATCTGAGGTCTGTGACGTCACAGACTTCCTGATGCTTCACCCGGGCGGAAACGAGGCACTCGTCTCATGTCGGTCGTCTCATGTTTGGCTTCCATCGAAAACCATGGCAGACTCCCAGTCTTCTTGATGTAGGGACCCACGGTGCAACGCAGCAAGTTGACTCACTGAAGGAGGTGATTCAGTTAGCTTATTGAGAAAAATGGTATGTGATCAGCTTGGGTCGTTCGGCACACATGTATTGCTCAGATTGCAAGTCCTATTTGAGGCGGCACGAGAGTAAGTAGCTCGGTTTTGTTAAAGATGGAAGATGACAACATGGGACCAAATAGCGGAAAATGTATGTCCTATGGTGTCCCAAAGTTTTGAAGATTTCTGAGAAGCACTGCAGCTACAGGTCCTCTTGCAGTATGGCGGGCAGGAAGCCGCAGAAGCCTTTGAAGAGGTTGGCCACTCCGACTTCGCTCGCCACTTGACCTGAGCACATGAGCTACATACAAAACCTGTCAGGATGTTGCAAGGGAGTTTATGTTTGAGGAATATTCTCAGCAGCTATTTCCGGTATGCAAGCCTTGGCTTTGGCACGGTTTGCTGGGCCTGTCCAGCGAATGACAACCTATTTTATGTATATATACATTATATATCAAATAATTAGTCATGTCACTAGTCCGTTGCACAACAATTAGTCCAGTGCAGCAAATGGGAATTCAATCTGAGTCCTGCCTTGCAGCAGGTCATTCATGAAGCCATTTCTGATCAACGACCATGTCATCCTTTGTGGTACAGGTGGAAAAAACACGTATGGCAATGGCACTTTTTAGGCAATGGCGATGGCATTACTTCATGATGCAACACTTAGGGCTATGTAGTGTGAGCCTACACCAAAAGTATCTTTGGTTCAAAGCCTTGGATGGGTCTTCATTGGTCACATTTAGACAGGTTTTGGACGTGGATTCCTTCGTTTCAAAGGCAGCTTGCCGTGCCTTGAAGTATTGCAAAGGACAGATGGTTCAAGAGAAGGCCATTGGAGTGCTGGTTGATGGCAATTCCTCTTTGCGAAGTGGTGCTGGGACATCTTTGCTGGGTCGGCTGTTCACCAAAGAGGATGGCTTCAACATCCACAAAACGTTTCTTGGCTGTTTTCCAGACGTGTCCTTGAGGCGAGCTTTTTCGCCACCAAATTGTTTTTGCATTTGTCGTAGGCTGGGCATCAGCGTCCTTGTGCACGTGCTTTATAGGGCCTATGCCCAGCTGGCGAGAATTCCGGACTGTTTGAGATGCAGGGCATGTAGATAAACATGAGAAATAGTTATATAAATATACTGTGTACTGTATGCATTGCAATTTCATGAACGTGTTGGTTTATTGGTACTTTGTTTGCCTTGTAACCTCCATCAATACAGTCCAACACGGTACGATAATGAATGCGCAATACATCTTTATGACGGCATATTATAGGCGATTGGCTCGAGTGGTTGGCCAGAACAATGTTAATTTTAAAAAAGCTCATAATGGCTCAGACACGTGTTAGCACTGAAGCTTGAATCATTCATGGTTGCTGCCTTCCGAAGGACGCAGGCTTTACCAGCGGGTATGGCTCACTTGCACTTTGTTGGTTAAGTATTGCGCTACAGTCGACGTCCTACTTCTTCGAGGTCGGCCTTGAACAGTCATGTCAGTGTGAGTTTAGGCCGGTGACCTGCCGTTGCCTTGTCAGGACACGTTGAATAAACAAACTGGTAACTACTGTTTGAAGAAACACTGAAGGACAGTGCACGCCTTGTAGGAAACATGAGCAAATATGCTTGGCAAATGCAGATGATTGTGGCTGGCACTTTATGATTTTGTCGACACTTCATGAGACATTTCGGCTCAAAGTTGCTGGCTTTGGGAAACTGGTTGCATTGCATGGGTCGCTTTTCTGGGCGATTCATCTATTGCTTGGCTTTGGTGTTGCTACCATTGCTCCAAGATTATTGGTCAATGTCCTTTTCGGGTCCTGTGGCCAAAGCCCGGAGCGGCGCTGGAGCGAAAGATTATGTTTTGGTTATGCATGAAATGTGCCCCTTTGCGCAGCGAGCGTGGTTTGCCTTGGAGGAGTCCGGGTTGAGCTTCCGACTGAAACAGGTTGGACTGAGCTCATCCCTCGTCTATGACTTGAATCCAAAGGGCTTGGTTCCAGTCTTGGTCGACCCCGATGGCAAAGTAATCGTCGAGTCCGAAGACATCGTGGATGTCATTGCTCAAAGTGCATCAAAGACAAGTAAGGCACCAGAAGCTGCCAGCTTAGTTAGTTTGTGCCCATACATATACATAGAAGAGTTTCATGCAAGTCATACACACAATGCAACAGAAAAAGTGTTGCTTTTGGAACACTGCTGCGTGATCATCAGCCTGCATCCACAGTAAAGCTGCTCGGAGCCTGGTACCACTGTATCACCAAGAAGAAGTTCCATTTAATGAGCAGCAGGAAAGGCCACTTGTGTATTTGTCATCATATGTCACTATCAATACATATATATAATATATATATATACATATGCACGCATGCCTACGTACGTGCCTACGTACGTACCTACATACATACATACATACATAAAAGCCTGCACACAGGCTGGGAGTGTAATACGGATAAGATAGCTCAGCAAGCAACTCATGCAGATCAGAAGGGACTGAAGCACTAGTTAGTTTATAGGGAAGAAACTCAAGTTTCTCCTTCCACAGGTTTGTTTCAAGCCGAGAAACAAACTTTTTCCGCAGGAGTAAAAAGTTAGTTTCCAGCTGCAAAAACAATCATTTTCGAAGCCAAGGTAAAGCCGAATAATTCAAAAGACAGACAGCAGACAGAAAACTAAAGTTTTTATGGCGACAAACAAATGTTATTATCTAGAGTTTCTCTTGAAACGAAGGATTGGACGAAACCTTTGTTTCAACCCTCAAACTCTGAACTAAACTTTGCCAGCATGGTTCTAAACTCGAAAAAAACAAACCCCGAGCTTCGGAGAACCTTTGTTTTTTTCGAATAAACCGTCAGTGGACAAACTCATGAAAAGTAAGTTTGTTTCCGAGTTAGAAACAAAAGTTTCTGAAAACAGTGGAAACTAAAGTTTGTTTCCAGGTGAGAAAACTTGAGTTTTTCAAACTAGTGGAAACTAAAGTTTCTACGCACGAAAACCATTGTTTTCTGCTTGCCAGGTGAAACTTTAGTTTTCTTCCTGAAAAACAAACATTCGAAACTAGAGTTTTTGGATCTCGAAACAAACGCTCCCGAAACCTTTGTTTTTGGACTACCGAAACAAACTTTTTGTTCTGAAAACCTTTGTTTTTTACTCCCGAAACAAACATTTCCCTTCACCTCCTATTACTATTTCTATTACGGAGGCTCATGAAACTTTTGTTTTTCACTCCCAAAACAAACGTTTCGTTGCAGAGTTAGTTTGTTTCTGGGGGGGGGGCGGGGGAGGGCTCGAGTTGGACACAAGAGAAACAGACCAGATGGACATGATTGCATTTCGAGTGCGCAAGGTTCCCCAGACCATGCTTTTCAGACCCTCGAGATCTTCAATGTGCCTCTATCCGAGCCATTGCCAGTCCCTCGAAAGATGGACATGAGTGCATTTCGAGTGCGCATGCTTGCAGAATCTGTTGTTCCCAAGACGATGCTTTTCAGACCCTCGAGATCTTCAATGTGCCTTTATCCGAGACATTGACGGAGGTGGGGCCTTAAAATCTGATTTCGTTGCAGGTGCGGATTCAGGGTAGAAAGTGCAGATTTCGTGGCGCGGGGGGGGTTACATGAGTGCATTTCGAGTGCGCATGCTTGCAGACTCTGTTGTTCCCAAGCCGATGCTTTCCAGACCGTCG